GATTCTCCAAGTCCCTCATCAAGTTGGTTCACTCAGCAGTAGGTCCACCATAGCGTCATATATGGTGGTTCTCCTGAGGCTGAGGTAAAACACTCCGTCAGAAGATAACTCTACGTCCTCTGACACTACATACACGAGGTTGATCTTTGAAGTAAAAAAAAAAATGACTTCAGTGTCTCCTATCAATGCATATAGCCGCCGAGGTGGTCTTTCAAGTCAGGTTGTCCCACTATGTCAGATTAAGACTCCCATCCTCCTCCTCCTCCTCCTCCTCCTCCCTCCTCCCTTCTCTTACTCCTCCCTACTAATCCCCACCCCACACAAGCCTCCTCCTGCAAAGTCGTTCATTCCGTTTTCATTGTGGGTCTGTGAGGAAGATTAACTCCCTTACCATAAAACATCGTCACTGGGAAGAAGAGGAAGGCTAGGTGGAGGAGGGACGACAATTTCTTGGTGTTGCTTCCTTAAAAAAAAAAATGTCTTTGAGAAATAGAAGGAACTTGGAGGAGCATTCATCTGGTAATTTCTTTTCCATGTAAACATCACCGATAACGCGAAATAAAAACCGAACCTTTTCAATTTGTGTCTTCAGTAACTATCAAAACTGTAACCTATTCGTGGTAGGATAGTTGTTGTTGTTGTTGTCCTTCTTCCTCACAGTAGTGGCCTAGGATTCTTCTTCTTCTTCTTCTTCTTCTTCTTCTTCTTCTTCTTCCTCACAGTAGTGGCCTAGGATACTGCCCCTTCTTCTTCTTCTTCTTCTTCCTCACAGTACTGGTCTAGGATACTGCCCCTCCTCCCCCTCCCCTAACTATGTGACTGAAGACTGGCACCAACACCCGTCTCATCATGCTAAGAGGTCGATGGATCCACCAAGTCCTCATTGCCGTCCTTCACCACCACCCTGGCTGGATTCCCTCGTCGATTAGTCCGATTTAGTCGATCTCCTCTCCTTAGCCGATTTTTTTTCCCGATTTATTTCCAATTTGTTGAAACGTGGTTATGTATCAACCTCTAAATGACCCACGTAGTTATGTATCAGCCTCTCAATGACCCACGTAGTTATGTATCAGCCTCTCAATGACCCACGTAGTTATATATCATCCACCTACTATTTTTTTTCCCTCCTGCATTATTTTTATTTATTTTTTCTACTTTATCACATAATACTTTTTTCCCTTCTATTTTTCTCATATTTTATGCCATTTATTATTTTTTCTATCATATTATTCACTAATAATTTACACAACATTTTATATATAATTTTTCAATCGTATCTTTTTCCCTATTTTATTTTTTACACGTATTTTTTATTTAGTTTTTGCTATTTTTTCCCTTTATATTTAACCCCCCCCCCCCACAACACTTGCTAAATATATTATCAACGTCATTTTTCCCCTAAAAATATAAAAATTTTCCCCGCTGTCTATTTCTCTCGTCAACATATACTTTTAATTAATAACGAACTTCCCAAACATATCAATAATATATAATTTCCTGATATATATTTCCCAATTATCAACCAGCAGCTTTTCGGCAACAGTTCATTTAGTTGCGTCTTTTATCCCAAAGTTCCAATAATGAGCTGGCAAGCAAAAATGGGTCCGCCAAATTGCGCTTCCAATTCCGTAATGTCAACAGAATACCGTACTGGGTGCAATGGGTAGATAGGTGGTAACGAGGCCAAACACACCATGTGAAACTGGTGAACTATGGAGATGTTATTGTTTAAAGTGATGCTGTTGTAGTTATTATTGTTATTATTGTTGTTGTTAGTGTTGTTGTTGTTATTGTTGTTGTTGTTATTGTTTTGCTTGATTGTCAGAGAACATCATAAGAGTACAACAAGCGCCCCACACTGTCTTCCCCGTAAGTAAGCAGACATTTACTTATAGGTGGGCAGACGAGCAGACAGGCATGCAGGCAAAGAGAGAGACAGGGAGGCGGACAGAGAGGCAGAGAGACAGGGAAGCATACAGAGAGGCAGAGAGACAGGGAAGGAGACAGAGGCAGGGAGGCATACAGAGATACAGGCAGGCATACAGAGAGACAAGGAGACAGGGAGGGATGCAGAGAGGCAGGGAGGCAGACAGAGAGAGAGGGAGGCAGACAGAGAGGCAGGCATACAGAGAGAGAGAGAGACAGGGAGGCATACAGAGAGACAGGGAAGCAGAGTTGAGACAAATCCTTCTTGATCAGACAAAACCAACTAGTAGTGTCAGGGGGACTCTTCAGCTGATTTCCCCAGAGGACTCATCAACAGTGACACAGTTTGTCATAATACTGCACTGGCCTGAAGAATTCTCTCTCTCTCTCTCTCTCTCTCTCTCTCTCTCTCTCTCTCTCTCTCTCTCTCTCTCTCTCTCTCTCTCCTACACTCGCTCATACACCTTTCACTACCTCCCACACACGTCACACTCACCTACACTCTCGTCACACACTCCCACACACACACACACGACACACACATTAGTAAGGCCCTGCACCTTCTGTAATCTGTGTTAAGTATGTTAGTCCATACTTAGGTTAAGTCCTGTGTATGACCAGCGTAAGGGAATACAGTATACACATGACACACCAGTAGTACACTATACAATTTTCTTATGTCTTGTAGTGAATATTGTGACAGTCGTAAACTAACAACAACAACAATAATAATAATAATAATAATAATAATAATAATAATAATAATAATAATAATAATAATAATAATAATAATAATAATAATAATAATAATAATAATAATAATAATAATCTGCTACAGGTGTGACCATCCCAGCTTCTCTCCCTGCAGCGTCTCCTCCAGGTACGGGTTAAGAGGACCCCAAACCGAGTTACTTTTTTTTTACTCTCAGGAGGAGTCTGGTAAGCCTACTACTGCGTCTTATATTGTTAACACTGCTTCAATGCGTCACACATACCAAGTTGCTCTTCTTCAGGTGCAATTTAACCTTTAATTGTTTCGCTGCTTAGTTCATGCAAAGTTTTCTCCACTACGCATACACCTTCAACTGTTTTAATCAAAGGTTCGTCTAACACAACAGCACCTTTAACTGCTTCGTTCAGTCAAATATTTCTCAGGTAACACTTCACACCTTCCTCCGCTTCACTTCTTCTTTCACACGACTTTTCTCCGCCATTTCCGGAAAATCATTGGTGGCTGAAGAAGTCTTGTCAAGAGGCCCATTGTAGTGTTGCAAGTCCGAGTCGAGTGAATAATTTGCTGGGAGAATGATTCATTTGTGAGGGTCGATAAGGTGATGAGTCGAGCTAACTATTGCCAAACATTGAATAATAATAACTACCGTAGCGTCGTCCAGTCTGACTCCACACAAAATAGGACTGCAAATGCTGTACTTTGAATAATTATGAAGTGAAATTGAGAAATTTGTTTATGGTTGTATACATCTGGGAGACGTCGCTTATCTGACTGATTGAAACTGGTGTGTGTGTGTGTGTGTGTGTGTGTGTGTGTGTGTGTGTGTGTGTGTGTGGATCGTAGTTCCACCTACTGTACACACTGGAGCAACATGTGTGAGGCCTCAAGTGAGCGTGGTCTGGGGTAATTAATGTGAGTGCAACACCTGTACAAGGTATGCGGGGAGGGAGGGGGTAGGGGAGGGGAAGGAGAAGAGGAGGTGGGGCTGGTGAGAGAGAGGATGGAAGGGGAGAGAAAGGGCGAGGAAAGGAGAGGGAATGGAAGGGATGGATAGTGGTGGTAAGACGAGAGGAGAGGAGGGAGGAAGTGGGCGAGATTAGTGGAAGGGAAAGGAGGTAAGCGGAAGGAGAGGGAAGGAAAAGAAGAGGAAGAATGGGGAGGAAGGGAAAGGTGTGTGTGTGTGTGTGTGTGTGTGTGTGTGTGTGTGTTGGTATCTGCATATGTATGTGTTTGGTATGTATGGCAACGTGGCAACAGAGCGTTTAGACCTGAGTAGGGCTGATCTGACAAGGCGCCGTCGGATGCTGGTATCAATTGTCCCCCCTTTATCGCTCCCACCACTACCATCACCACCATCACTATCACCACCACTACCATTATTGATACTAATACCACACTCGCTACTACCACCTCACCACCACCACCCACCATAATCATCACCATCACAACTCAAGGAGCCGGGAAGGCGAAGCTCGTTTCTTCTGCTACACTAACCCAGTACTGTACTTGCCAAGGTCACACGAGGTCAAATAAAGTTTCTCAGGACACACACACACAGTCATGGGAGGTCACAAGGTCACTCAAAGTCAGAAAATGTCATCACAGGTCAAAAAAATATAACACAAATTCATAAAAGGTCATACATAAGGGTCAAAAGATCATTCCATATCAGTTGTTATAAGAGTAAATATGAGTTGGTATGCCAGAGGTATTTTATTTAACTGTCTCATATTTTTCTTGATACAGTAATTTAGTTTTTCAGTTACAACGACAATTAAAGCTTCAATATATATATATATATATATATATATATATATATATATATATATATATATATATATATATATATATATATATATATATATATATATATATATATATATATATATACAAGGGCGACTCAAAGCTAACGTCCCAGGACCAATACAGTGGCCCAGGTCTCACTCTCCTGGACTATTTCTTTGTATGTGGGCCGCGGGGGGAGGGGGGAGGGGCACCAAGAGACGTGGACGGTATGGACCTGCTGGAAGGAGCCGTCAGGGAGGTGTTCCATGCTGTGTTTACCTCCACACGTTATGTTGTAACACACTTATATAACTAATCTCTGGTGTGTACTGTGTTTGCTACCCATTAATGAGTGTTTACATTAGGGGCAGTGTGGACAGATTTCACTACAAGGTTTCGGTACACAAGGAGGAAGTGTGGCCAGCACTGCATTCAACCACCTTCATTTTTCAAGCGATCCTTAGAACAACTGGCGAGCGTTGTGTCCACTCGGCAGTTGCACTCTCAGATGGAAATGCCTCACCTTGTCAACAGGTAACCAAACTCTCCTACTCACCCAGATCTGAAGCTTGACTCTCTTGTCGTTCCTGAAGACGGTTTTCACCTTGAAGTCGATCCCTACAGTGCTGACGAACGCCGAGGTGAAGGAGTCGTCAGCGTAGCGGAAGAGGAAGGAGGTCTTGCCCACCGACGAGTTGCCGATGATGAGCAATTTGAACATGTAGTCGAAGTTTTGATCGGCGGCATCTTTCTGCCAGCGGTTATCTTGTGATACTGCCATCTGGTGGAGAGAAGAAGAACTATACCATGTTGTCATATTGCCTAAAGGGGAAAGAAGAAACACCTTTTTCTACAGGGAGTCACACCAACTCAGTTAGGGAGCAAGGTTTACAAAATGGTGCCTGGTACAAATACTCTGGGAAAAACGTAGACAATTAAGATTACTCAACAAAACATGACGTCATCTAGTTAGTTACATGTTGACGATAAAATAACACACGGAGAACCTGAATAAATAAGCACCAGGTATACAAAAAGTCGGCGCCTAGTGTAGAGTTGGCGCTAGAAGTAACTACATGCTGCTGCCATCTAGGGGCAAAAATGACACTATATCAGCGCCATCTGTACAACACTAACTTAACCTAGTTATAAATCAGTCAGAGGAGAGAATCAAGACAAGGTATGGTGAGTAAAGACAAATTACGTCAATAAGGACAAGATAACATCAATAAGGACAAGATAACATCAATAAGGACAAAATAACATCAATGACGACACGATAAGGAAATAACAACCATATAAGTGAAATCGGGACAAGGTAGGACAGTAATTTGATTAACACGAGAGTAACACAGCCAGGGAAGTCTTAATGGTGGTATCAGAGGCAAGGGACATGTTGGTGGTGCTGGTGGTGGTGGGGGTGGTAATGATCGCGTTGGTGGTGCCCCGGTGGTGATGGGGATGGTAATGATGGTAGTAATGACGACGATGGTGTTGTTGGTAGTGATAAAGATGATAATAGGTAGTGGTGGTGGCAATTGTCTCTCTCTCTCTCTCTCTCTCTCTCTCTCTCTCTCTAGTGGTGGTGGAGGAGGTGGCCGCAACAGCTGGCCAGGTTGGGTCATAATTTGAACAAAGCGTATTTATATTTTTTAAGGTAGCTGTGAGGAAGAGGGGGGGGGGAAGAGGGGGAGGAGGGGGAAAGAGGAGAACGTAAAAGGAAGAGATGGCAGGAGGATAGCGGGAGAGAGAAAGGAGGAGGAGGAGGACAAGGAAGAGGAGGGAGGAAAAAGGAAAAGGAGGAGAGAATAGAAGGAAGATGTGGTGAGAGAGGGGTGGTAAGAAGGAAATGAAAGGAGTGAGAAAGAGGAGAGACTAGAGAGAGTGAGATGAAATGGAAGAGGAGAGGAAGGAAGGAGGAAAGAGGAACTGGAAGAGGAGAAAAAATGAGTTGGTGTTTGTGTGGGGAGGAGGGGAAGGCGAAAGGATAAGTGGAGAGCAAAAGAGGAATAGAAAGAGAGAGGAAGAAGAAGGGTAAGAAGAGGATGAGGGGATAAGAAAAGGAAACAGGAAAGGGGTAAAAGAAGAGGAAAGTAAAAGAGGGAAGTGAGAAAGAGGAGGTAACAAAGGGAAAGAAGAAGAGGGGGGGTTGGAAGAGGAACGAGGATGAGGAGTAAGAGGGGAAGAGAGGAAGAGTGGCAAGAGAAGGAGAGAGGAAGAAGGGAGATAGTGAAGACAAGAGTAATCGAACACAGTGGAAGATGATGTCACTCTCACAGACAGACAGACAGACAGACAGACACAGACATACATACAGACAGACAGACAGACACAGACAGAAAGATAGACAGATCTAGTGTTTTTTTCTCAATTTTCTTCCTTTGACACTTTCTTCATTTTCTTTATTGACTGACAAACGCGGTGACCTTGGCCTGTCTCCTCTACACAGCTGGTGACCTTGACCTGTCTCCTCTACACAGCTGGTGACCTTGACCTGTCTCCTCTACACAGCTGGTGACCTTGACCTGTCTCCTCTACACAGCTGGTGACCTTGACCTGTCTCCTCTACACATCTGGTGACCTTGACCTGTCTCCTCTACACAGCTGGTGACCTTGACCTGTCTCCTCTACACATCTGGTGACCTTGACCTGTCTCCTCTACACAGCTGGTGACCTTGACCTGTCTCCTCTACACAGCTGGCACAGGAGACCCCGAGCAGCTGTTTAAAATTGTTCTTTTTGTTTCAAACTTTTGTCATGTATCCAGACAACAGCTGCCGGGAGGGAGGAGGAAGTCACTCAGAGAGGTCACGAGGTAAGATGGAGAGAGGAGGTCAGAGGGAGAGAGGAGGCCGCGAGGTTAGAGGGACAGAGGAGGTCACGAGGTAAGAGGGACAGAGGAGGTCACGTAGTCACTAGAGGGGTAAGAGGTCACAGAATACCACCACCTACATAACGTGGTGTGTGATAAGGCACGTGGTGTGTTATGTGCACGTGGTGTGTTATGTGCACGTGGTGTGTTATGTGCACGTGGTGAAGGGCGCCACGCCGTCTCTACCAGCACTAACTTACGGTATATTTACTTTTTGGTGAGAGAAATTTCAGGTAATAGACACGGAAAAAAAATGCTACAAAAATGTTTCAGAATATATTTCCCGCACTCTGTATTTTTGCGGAGAGTGCGGGGAGAGAGGAGGGAGAGGGTGGGGTGAAGGAAGGAGGAATGGAGAGTGGGGGAGGCCGAGGCAGGAGAAAAGGCAACAAAGGGAGGGAGGGAGGGAGGGTAAGTGGAGCAGCCACTTGCCTCTCCTCTCAACTGCCTGGAGACCTACTACTGACTGCCTTTACTTTTATAAGGAGAGTTTTATGGACACAGCCGAGAAACTGTGTGTGTGTGTGTGTGTGTGTGTGTGTGTGTGTGTGTGTGTGTGTGTGTGTGTGTGTGTGTGTGTATGTGTGTGTGTGTGTGTGTGTACAAAACAAACAACCAAAATACTACTCCCAACTCATAAACAATAACACACTATAAACAAACACAAACAACTAAAAAAACACGACTTTACATAAACAAACAGATCCTGAGCAAAATATAAACATACTAATCGAGGTGATAATAAATTTCCCTTAGAATGACAACACAGGAACTCCAGCCATTACCTGGATAATATACTGACGAGGTAGTGTCTGTCTGTCTGTCTGTCTGTCTCATGTCTTAATTACGTGTCTTTTTGTTTGTTGGGTATTATGGCTGGCTGTCTGTCTGTCTGTCTGTCTGTCTGTCTGTCTGTCTGTTTGCTTATTTCTCTACGCGTCTTTCTTTTCTCTCTAGTGTTCGTGTGTTTGTAAATCTCTCTCTCTCTCTCTCTCTCTCTCTCTCTCTCTCTCTCTCTCTCTTTCTCTCTCTCTCCGTGTCCTTGCCATATATAGAGAGAGAGATATAAAGAGATAGTGAGGGAGAGAGATGAAGAGAAAGAGAGAGAGATAAAGAGAGAAAGAAATAAAGAGAGATCAAGAGAAAGAGAGAGAGATAAAGAGAGAGAGAGAGAGAGAGAGAGAGAGAGAGAGAGAGAGAGAGAGAGAGAGAGAGAGAGAGAGAGAGAGAGACTCCTGTAAAATCACACCCGGCCTCTGGCTGAAGGCACTGAGATAAAAATAGACCCCAGACTACCTTTGTGTCCTTCCACCACCACCACTACCACCATTACCACCACTACTACTACTACCACTACCACCACCACTCACCACTACTACTACTACTACTACCACACCACCACCACTACACTCATACCACACTACTACTACTACCACCACTACTACATACCACCACCTCACTACTACTCGCTACCACCACACCACCACACCACTACTACTACTAATTCATTACTCACACCCACCACTACCACCACCGCCACTCACCATTACACACCACCACTACCACTACTACTTCATTAAAATTACTACTTCACCACTACTCTACTACTACTACTACTACCATTACCACCACTACCACTACCACTACTACCACCATCACCACCATTTTCTATCACTACCATCACAACTCACCACCATCACAACCACACTATTACGACTACAACCACCAACATCACCACACTCCATTCCACCACCTCCACTACTACTAACACACACACACACACACACACACACACACACACACACACACACACACACACACACACACACACACACACATACGTTAAGATTTGGGTCCTAACCATACTCTATGCATCACGCATAATCAACACACACAATGACACTTTCCAGCCCACCCACCTCTTCTGCCCACCCTCTACCCACCTCTGCCCACCCCTCTACCCACTCACACCTCTGCATAACCAACCAACTACCCCACACTAGCCACCCACCCACCCACACTAACTACTCACCCACCTCTACACCCACCCACCCCTATGCTCACCCACCCTCTGCCCACCCACTTCTATCCACCCACGCACTACCCAACCCACCCGTCTACCCATTCGACATACACAACCGGACCCCAAATAACTGGATCAATGATAGACGATCTTGTGTTAACCGGACAGCCCTGTTAACCGAAACCCTCAATATCGAACACCTCATAACCGGACACTCATAGTAACCGGACCCTTTTCGTATCCGGAACCCCATCAACCGCACCATCCCCCATGACCCTTCGTATCCGGAAGCCCATCAACCGGATCCTTATAACCGACCCTCTATAATTAAACCTCTTAGTAACTATGCAGTCGTGGAGGGAACTTGAGAGGGCGGCTCTGATTGGCTGGCACAACTAAGATGTAATTGCATTGTTAGGGTCTGGCCAAGTCTCGAGTGTTGTGTGTGAGTAGTTAAGTCTGTCTGTCTTGTTAACCACTCAGGAGAGAGAGAGAGAGAGAGAGAGAGAGAGAGAGAGAGAGAGAGAGAGAGAGAGAGAGAGAGAGAGAGAGAGAGAGAGAGAGAGAGAGAGAGAGAGAGAGAGAGAGAGAGAGAGAGAGAGAGAGAGAGAGAGGCTGAGAAGAGAGGAGATACAGGAAGAGGCTGAGAAGAGAGAAGGAAAGAGGAGTTAAGAAGAAGGAAGGATGGATGGATGGATGGATGGATGGATGGATGGATGGATGGATGGACAAAACAGGTAAGACACACAAACAATTATCCATACCTGAACAGATTCTTATAATAAAACTTTAACAAACAGAACACAATCATTAACTAGTGAAGCTATGGCCAAATGGTAATCAAGGTAGAGGTCAAAGGTCAGGGTCAAAATAAAGAATAACATTA